GCATTTCTAGTGCATTTTACCAAAATGCACTGTCCTTATTTACTTGTGGACACCGAGTTCACATTTAGTTTTGAAATCCTGTAGTCTAGGAAAATGTATTAAAATTGTTCCCTCTCCATTCTTGCAAATATATATTTTTAATTCCATAAACTGAAAGCATTTTTTTGAATGAGAAATATTAGTTTTAAAGTTAAGAATTTTCTTCATGATTCACTGAAGCTGAGTTTGAGATTGCAGAAACGGCAATGAGATTTTGTTCCATCTCTGTGTGAGATTGTATTCTGTCAAAGAAGTTAGATCCTACAGTGTTTAATATAATAACATTTAGTTGCCATATAATCAAAACACAACTTTATAGCTCTTGTGAAAATACAAGCACCACAAAATGGGATTTGTGAAAGCCAGCTGAATGCGGAATGAATAGATCAGGAAACACTTCCTAGCAGAAGCATTCCACCTCTTCACATTCCTTCATGATTTGGATGATCTTGCTCTTGAAGATTAATGGGTTCAGTTCCTAGTTCTGTCTTCTGTATTTTCCAATTGCTGCTTAGTAGCTGCAGGGCTTCTAAGCATCTTTTCCTTTACAAAGTAGTAGATCAAGACTCATTAGACCAAAGAGAAAGAAAGACATAGGATCTTGGTGTACCACCAGGGGCTGGGGAGATGTGGGATTCAATTCCTACTGTGACCGATTTTAAACCACTTCCTGGAACTATAAAGTTATTTTCACTGACATCCTTCACCAGTAAATGATAAACTTACACGTTCATAGAGGAACAGCTTCAATAGCAGAACTTGACAAGTGGTTAGTGGTAGGAGTGGCTCCTGACAGAAAACACTCTGTCTTGTCAATAATACTATTATCTCAGGGGACAGAAGATTTAAAGTGAGGAATTACTCAAATTTTGGAAGGCCAGGAAGGGACTGACCAACCCATCTCTTTTCCAAATAAAGACAATACTAGCTATTTAGATCTTGTCTGTGTGATTTAACTGTTACGCCCTACGTACAAGTTATCCCAATTATTTCCTCTTCATTCAGCCACATCCTGCAGAAAGCAGTGCCTGCTGCTGCACTTCAGCGGAAAATGTGCTTGGGATTTGTATCTCAGGGAGATTAAATAATTTTGTTCTAGCTCCTAGATCCCTGTTTCCTTTAGGTGCCAGCAGGATGCTTCTGCATACCTTTAGCTATAGAGAACAGGGCAACTCCAGCATGTAGAGAGACAGGCTTGTGAATGGACTGAACTTCCCATCAATAAAAGTATCTCAGTTACAATACTTAAGAACTTCTGTAACTGCCATTTGGTTGCAGTTTAGCAGCTTTTACATTGCAAATATGAATATTGGTGCTTTAAACTCCACGTAAAATATAACATAGATGAAAATAAGCCATATTGGCTCTGGTCTTTACTACTGATTTTACTAGATAAAACAGGTGCATAAAATAAACTGGAAAGTAGTATGAGAATTGTCAAAAAAAAAAAAAAAGTCCTAACTTTTTAATGAGAGGAAATCTTATGCTTTGTATTCCTTATAATCCTCATATTCCTCACATGCAAATTAGGGAGAGGATAATGGAACCTATTCTTTATACAACCAATTAATAATTTCATTACTAAAAATAAAATCTTTCTTCCCATCCTGCAGTGCTTAGCCTTGTACTTGCACAGCTTTTCTTCTCTTTATTATTAAGAAAAAAAATAATTCTATGGACTAAGTTCCAAGTTATTAGAAGATGGATCCTAGGCATAGCATTAGCATTTTAATTCAAATCCTCTAAATACTTGAGTATCTAGTATGTTGGTTTATAAAAATAGTTACATACATGGATATGCTTGTGTGTGCATGTCTGCATGTGTATTATTTGCATTTTGGAAAATAGGAGAGAGAGTGCATAGCATGGCATGGAAAGATAAGGTCATGAAGTTTTGTTGGGGAAAGCATTTAGGAAAGCAAAGGATTTTATTTCTAGGGTGTTGGTTTTTTTTCTTTTTTGGGGGGGAAGTATCATGAAGCTGTTCTTCATTCCTTCATACTTCAGCCTTTGCTACAAAAATTTCTTCCTGTTAGTAAAATGTGAGTCCCTTCTCTTTCTTTCATGCCCTTTGCCAGATCTAATAATCTCATTCTGAAGTTGGGAAAAGAACTTAGCAGGAAAAAAACCAACACCTTACATTAGTCATGAATCTTCTTTTTTTCCATTTTAAAACAAATCAATTCAGCAAAAAAAGACACGTTCATACCTCAAAAACTCCAATACTCAAGTTCTTATCTAAGCACCAATGTGCCAAGCCTAAGTGCCTGTGAGAAGTGTTGAGCTCTCAAAATCTGACTGAAATCAATGTCAGCTTCAGACAAACTTCACTGTCTCAGTAAAACTTGGATTGGGACATCTAGATCCCAGTTCTGATGGCGGGAAAAATCAACAACTGGTTTTGAATATAACTGTGTAACCTCATAGATAATATTCTTCCTAATCTTTATTCAAGAGAGGAAGAACAGTTCTCTTCCATCTGTTGACTATTTTATGAAACACCACCTTGCAAAAAATCATGTAAACAGGCATTTTGAAATCAAATATGAACAACTCAAATATTAGCAAACTGATCCAGGATTTGGGCAGATGCTCATATCAGAATTAAATACACTTGAAAAAGTTAACAAACAGATTAGCCAGGTAGGAGCATGTTTCAATCTAAGTTACATAACAGTATTTTGTTATGCTTAACTGCTACTGCCACTTATAGTGTACGCTCCAAGGGAATTCCATGACACCCAGTTCCTCCTGTACTGGGACTAATAACTTCTACTTGTGTTCAACTAAAGCAGGATTTCTCTTCATGGAAACTGCAGTCCATAGAATTAATTAAAATGAAAGTATTATAAAATAGTGTTTAATATGCTGCTCAGCTTTTTCAGAAGAGAGGATTTGAAAAGCAGAGGACATTTATACAAATCAGTGAACTCCTCTGGATTGAAGATGTCTTTGCTCCTTTTGAAAGGAGCATAAGTATAAACACAAAATATTTGTTCTAGTTTTACTTTCTCAGCTGGAAGAAACTGAGCTTCTGCTGCTTCCAACTCTGGGGAACACTCATAGGTGGGTACTGCGTTTCTCGATAGTATGAATTAACCCTGAGCAGAAAGTAGCTCTTCCAGAAAGGCATCTTGTACTCAGGAATGCATTGGAAAATGAAGGATCCACCACATTTCTTCATAGTTTGTTCCAGTGATTAAGCAGCTATACTTTTACAAACACTTTATGCCTTTCTCTGTTAAATTAAGGTGCTGTTTGTTTCCTGTTTTCTCCCTGAGGAGGTTCTGATACACAACAACCGTATTTTCTATCCATCAGCTTTCTTTTCAGTAGACTAACACTAGATTTTAAAAGCTTAACCAGCAATGCTAGCCCTCAATGATTTCCTTTATTATTTTTAGTACTACATTTTTTCCTTTCTCTTTTCAAAATTGCAAGTCATACCTCATGTCAGTCTTAACCAACGCAGTACACACAGCTAAGGTTAGTGCCACCCTCATCTCTGTTGTAATATATTCAAAGATCCCATGGAAGCAGCTGGTGAGTTTTTCACCATGATTTCCAGTGTCATTGCTTTCCAGTGAATTAGATATTGCTTTTACACTCTGCACTAGATTTAAAAACTCAACTCTGTGCTGAATTTGTACACAGGCAGTTGTGAGAGCCAGTCAACACAATAGGCCAGGTTGCTCTGCCCTTGCCAATATTCACCCACAGGCTGCCAACTGCAGATTTTATTAGCAACAGCTCAATAAATGTTTGAAATAATGGATAACTTCTTTCCTGGTAACTCCAACAAATAGAAACCAACAGGGATTTCTTAGGGGGATATTTTCTTTGACATATGAGTAAATCATTCACTAGTTACAGGGTGTAGGCATAAAGAACATTTTAAAGAATGATACTGTTCAGATGGAAAGCACCATTATAAATGTGAAATACACTAAAGCAAAATTAGGCCTTTTTTCATTCCATGCAGAATTCTGATTAACCTGTTCATTTAACTAAAATGGTGAAGTATAAAGTATTTATGAGGAATTTATTTTTCCTCATTTTTGGCTCCAGTCATTATAAATTTGGCTCTGTAGCCTCAGCTGTTTCATTTAGAAACTGAATAGAAAAATAAGAGAGAAGAACAGGCCAAGTAGATTACAATTCTGATTTCAATTGCAAATATTTAGAAATTTAAAGAGAGCCAGCAAGTAAAAGCATTGGAGTATTTTTCATTGTTTCAGTAAGAACTCAATCACTAAGGAAGTTAAAGCCAAACTACCAAGGGGCTACAGTCACTACAATTAAATATATTCCATTATGGGAAAGATGAGGAAATGGGCTAGGTAGTGCAGAGCTGTCACCCCAAAGGACCCTCCAGAGAGAATTGAGAGGCAGCAAGATTCTTTTTAATAGCACTAATAGACAGAAAAGCTGGGGAGGGACCTTTTACAAGGGCTTGTAGTGAGAGGACAAGGGATAATTGATTAAAAGTGGAAGAGGGCAGATTTAAGTTAGATATTAGGAAAAAATTCCTCAGCATGAGGGTGGTGAGACACTGGAACAGGTTGCTCAGGGAAGTTGTGGAAGCCCCATCCCTGGAAGTGTTCAAGGGCAGGTCAGATGGGATTCTGATTCACCTGATCTACTGGAAGGTGTCCCTGCCCATGCAGGAGGTTTGAAACTCTCTTTGCTAGAGAGTGAATGCCACTAACAGTTTAATACAGTCTGAACTTCTTCATGGTGTCTAGCTACTTAGTCAGGGAAAATTAAATGGATATGTTCAGAAGCATATCATACCCCATTTTCCACAGAATTCCCACCCTCCCCTCCCCTTTCTAGTTAACATACTTGATAATCGCTTCCTTTCTCAAAAAAAAGTTTTCACAACCATATAGAATTATGGCTTATTAAAAACTGGAATAGATGACACCATATTACAGCACACTGATAGAGAGCCTTAGAACCACAAGTCCACAACATTTTTTATTAAAATACCACCAAGTTTAAGAAATCAATGAAGTGCAAAGAAACTTCAACTCATCATACAAAAAGTAATGACTTCCATCCTTAAGTATGGAAACTGCATTCCAATCATGACATGATTGACATAATACAGAAACACTGTATCCCAGATGAACATCAAAGTTAAAGACTGGCATGCTGGGCAAGGAAGGTTCTTATTCTTTGCAAGAGTTCTTTCTTTACACTGTCTGGTACCAAGGCTGAAACACAAGTAAGAAACAAGAAGTATAAGAGACAAAATAGAAAATCTGCTAATATCAACCGTTTACAACAGTTACTCTTATTCTTTGTTTGTTCTTGAAATTCTGTTAATACCTCAAGTAACTGAAGCTACTTTATTTTCATAGAGCACATCTGTATTTTTCTCATTTAAAAGAGGTTCAAATTCAAATCTAGGAAGAATAATGTTGTTATGGATAGTTTTTTCCTAGAGATAGTCAAGAAAACCGTCAAACCTGAGGAAATGATTATTCAAGATTAAACTGGATACAATCACCACAAGCTAGTTTGATTATCCTACTTTTTTTCTTCACAAATTTAAGACCAAAAAAATCTCAGCCATGACCTCAGAGTAAGCGTCTTCAGCAAGTTATTTTGAAGGCCTATTTTTACATAAGACTTCATTATTTTTTTCCACTAACACCAAAGCTTATTAGAGGGTCCAAGAAGAATGATACAAAGAAAACGATTTCCTTAAAGCATTCTATTTTTCTGTATTTGTATGCTATGTCCTTTTCCCACTTCCCATTACACTAGCACTGTTAATTCTGATCTTTAATCTTAAAAATAGTTGGAATTTTAAAATATCTCTGACACATACTCCGTTTTCTTGGGACAATTATATCAATTATAAACATAAATACAAACTCATGAGTAAAAACTGTAACCTGCAAAAGAAGACTCATTACAAACTTTGAATGTCTGTATTTCATTTGTAGTTAATACCAATCTATTGACATTTTTCTTTGAATCCAACAGAGGCAAATTCATAGCACTGCTTTCAAAGTATTAATTAGATACAAGCAGGTATGTTTATTTATGTCCTAACATATCCATGTTTGCATTTCCTTACCTCTGCCTTTGGGAGTGATTTCTGCTACTAAATCGTCAACAGTAACATGCTCTAATCCTTTTTCTTTAATGACATCTGGGGAAGACCAAGACAGATATTTTATATATTTTAATCCATTCATTAGAAGACAAAACCTGTGCCAATGATTAAAAGAGAAAACCTGTATGCATAGGTCATCAGAGAAGAGGAAGTAGCTTGTGATGTAAGTGTAGATTATTAACTCAGTACTTATACTGCATTGTACAGTGGAGTTAGTCTCTCATTCATACTGTACATTTAAGGAGGGGAACTTGTCAGTACTGCTGCATCTTGAGCAGCTCATATTTTAAAATCAAGTGTCACGAAGTTTAAACTCTGTGAGCACTGCCAGATGTGCTATTACTGCAGTGTTGTAGCAGTTCACAAGTGGGCTCTCCTATTCTCCTCAACCGCATTGTTTACATAATAGTGAGAAAGAGATACAATTGGAAAAAGACTTTGGAACATATAAGAGAGGGCACAGTAAAAACTTAACTGCTTTTCCTCAACGGTTTGAACAACACCACTCTACATATTTCAGCAAAGTAAAAAAGCATATTTGAAAGAAAGGTATATATCTACAGCAAAACAAAAGCTATGATTAAGACATACTGTATGTTTAAACCATTCTATCATCCTATGATTAATACATACCAGTATTTTAAAATGGTCTACTTATAGCACCGTGAGGACTACTGAAAAATGCAGAAGTCAATGCTAAGAAGAAACCTCAATTCAGTAGCATAAATCTAAAATATTTTGCCTAAACATAAATGTTTTTAACTTTATACATCAGTATATAGAATTCATTGTCCCCAAGCCACTAAATACGATTTCTGAACTGACATCACAGCAGCTATTTCTAAACTGTTTTTCTTGGCTGAATTCCCTGTGGAAAGTAATCCTGGATTGCTCAATTATTTACCCTAATGCACAATGGCCAGAGGCTCTAGAAGAAACCTCCAAACAAAACCCCTTACACCCTAACAAAACAGCAACAAAAACCCCCAACCCTTCCAAATCCCTCTCTGACCTATCTGAGGTTATTAGGCTCTTAACAGACACAACTCAGCTTATATTTACATTCTCAGCTGCTGCAGTTACAGTTCCAAGTACTAATGGCAACCCAACAACTTTAAATAACTTTACTATAGCAGATTCTAAAGTGTATAGTTGAGAAGGCAGGAAAACATCCCTTTTGCTAATTGAATTACTGGAACAGTTAACCTCTGGCAGTGTGGTCAGGCAGACAACTGCAAGGATTAATTATTTCAGCCTTCTCTGCAAATCCACCTATAAAAACAATTTAACATGCTCAGCCCTACAAGAAAAAACAACCACCAATGGAATACTGAGTTGCCTGACACCACAGACCAAATCAAAATTGAAGTGAAAGCTCAAGGGATTTCTTATGTTCTTTATGGGAATTTCATCATGTGGTAATATCCCTGGATGCTTAAATACTATTTATAATGCTTTCATATACTTGACAAGTCAGCAAATTGTAATAATGCTGGATACTTAAATCAGAACTAAAAGATGTGGGTATTTAGAGGTTCATCTGCTTGTTTTCTATTGCCAGGGATACTTTCCTCTTGTCTCTCATTTAAATTGACTGCTAGGCAGTAAAGCTTTTATCTGGAACTTTTATTTGGCCATTGCTTTAGCTGATTACAAAGGGTATTAGTTAGCTGACCACCCTTACCTTTGCAATGTGCCTTCAATTGATCCTTCCAGCCACATTCGATTAATTTGGCTCTCAGCAACTCTTTGAGGCTGTTAAGACAATATACAAAGGTGTTAGGAACACCAAAGATTCCTGACAGCTTAAACATGCTTCAATGTGAAAATTAAGCACTCGTAGCAGAATTCCCAAACCAGGAGCAGAAATGGCTGAACAGCATCTGAATCCTAACCTGAATGAGTAGCCATTTCATTAACTCTGTTGAACTGTGAGGAGCTGGCAGCTCCATAGCTATTCCACCATATTTCTCTTTGTCAGGAAACGTGATACCTGACTGAACTGCAACAAGCTGCATTTAATGGTATTTTTTTATATGAACCAAGAGCTTTGCAACACAAAATACCAGAATAAGACAAAGCTTTAGCACTGATAAAGCCAACCATCCCATCCTTTATTTCCTGAGCTTCTTTTTACATGTGTAGAGATAAAAGTGTTCAAAAGGCAAAAATAAGGTGTTGGTTTTTAAAAATATGTATCTTTATATAACCACAAGACTCACATGCAGACATTCGAGGAACTTAGAGTTAGTTTACTCAGTCTTTACTTCTAGGTATAGTTCCCGTTGGATAATATTTAAAAGCCTCTTACTGGCACGGAGGAGGAAGCCTACTTACCGCTCTCGCTCTCCTGTTTCTATTAGCTTTTGGTTAATGGTTGCTCTCATCTGGGCATCTTTATTCATTTTGGAAATCTAGGGTCTTCACAATCCTACACAGAGCAGAAGACAGTTGACAAGAACGGGTGTCGCTAACGCAACCAGCCAGCCCTTGCCACAATACCCACATTTCAGTTCACTCCCAATTAATTGAGCAATTTTAGCTCAGAAAGGGAAGCACCGTATAACAGGGCACCACCACTTTTCTCACATCACTGTAAAACTTCTACTCCACAAGCTGAGTACTGTGTCCAACTACAAGTACTGAAGCTGTTGCTTGGGGCCAGCCTCAGGTAGGTTAGGACATCCCTCCAGGCTCAGCAGAGGCTCAGTTTTGCTCTTATTTGTCCTGATTGAGACTCTGCCAAAACCCGCCTTCCCCTAGAGATCCAAGCGGCTGACCTTATTGAAACTCTTGCCCCTCACTGCCTCGTGGGTGTCAAACACAAAGAGTTGCCCTGAAGCACCATCTCATCACTGGAGCTTGAAAATAAGCCACTCTTTACATGGTGCCTGCCTTTCTAAATAGATAAGACTTTATGCCTCCCTTGTTCTCTCTTTATGTATTGTGGTAACCTTTATATTTCACACACTTTTAATCAGCCTTCCCAAGCATTTTTAGAGCAGCTTTATAAGACATCAAGACCAGCCACAATTATTGCAGTTACTCACATGAGAAGCTCCCATGAGAACCACACCACATATTTCAGGGGAAAAAAATACACCAGAACACCAAGCAAACCCCCAAACTCATGCCACAGAGCAAGAGCCTCACCTTCTCTTAGGTCTGGAAACAGTAAAAAGATCCAAATGCTTCCCCTTAACTCCTATTTAAGTCCTTCAGCTGCAATGGGCATGGGGGAATTGTTGGCTAATTCCCAGCATCTGGGAGCCATTTTACCCCAGAGCAGACTCAGCTGTTCTCTAATCCTTAAAGGACCCACTGAACACTGATACCTTCCTGCTGTTGTCTCCAGATTTCACCATCTACATGTTACCAGTTTCCTGCAATACTCCTACAGTTCTCCTACCTACTCCCTGAACAGCCCTTCCCCATGTCCCCATAGCTCAGCTTTCCCCCATGTTCAGTTTTGGGTGCCCCTCCAAAACAATAAAGGCATTTTAAAAAACTGGAGAAAGTTTAGGGAAGAGCCACCAAGAGAGCTGGGGGCTGGAACATTCGTCCCCTGAGAAGAAGCAAAGGGTGATGGGCTTGTTTGGCCTGATGAGAAGAAGGCTTCAGTGGGACATGAGAGCAGCCTGCCAGTTAACAAGAAGGTTCCTGTGCAGATGAAGTCAGGCTTCTCCCAGTAGTGGAAGGCTTGGAGATGAGGCAGCTGAAAGAGACTGAAACTGGATATAAGGAAAAATTTCTTTACTATGATGATGACTAGTCAAACCCTGGGCAAGGTAGCTCAGGGAGATTATACATTCTCCGCCCTTTGGAAAGTTTCAATCCTAGACTGGATAAAGCCCTGAGCAACCTGATCCGCTGGCCTGCTACCAGCTGGGGCTCGACGCGGGTGAGGAGGGGGGGTGTGTCCATCGGCGTGCGCGGCACGGGATGCTGAGCCCTCCGGGCCTGTCCTCGCCCTGCGGCCCGGCCGGCGCTTGGGCTGCGGGGAAGGCCCCATCCTGCTGTGGTGCCCTCGGTGCGAGCCTGCCCCGAGCTGGGAAAAGCCCGGCCCGCCGGATCGGCAGGCCTGCCTTCCTGGCCTCTGCTGGGAGCGGCGGGCGTTTCAGAAGATCAGCGTTTGGTCTCGATTTGTTTCCTTATAATTTGCTGCAGTGTTGTTACTTGTCTTCTCTCTGAGCCTCGTGTGGCTTCATGGTGGACCAAGGTCTCTGTTAGCAAATCACTGCCTTACAAGTGTCTGTCCCTGTGAGTCTGAACTTAGACTCTAAATGGGTGAGAAGATCCGTGTACTAACTGGGCTTGGCTTGTGCACTCATGGTAGGGCCAGATGACCAGCTGAGGCGGTTCAAAGTGATAGTGTACATGCCATGGTGATGGAGCACATGTGATTTAGACAAATACATATTATACATAGTATCTTTGACAAGCTTCAGCAAATTAGCTGTTTTTCTTTCTTACTCTGCCCACAGTTAAGAGGTGGATCTTCAGGCTCTGTATTCCATGCTCTGCTTTTTCTGCTGTGCGTTATTAGCAGTTGAGGTTCTTGTGCATTAACTGGCTAATTCTCTGCGAAGAATGTTTGCACAAAGTCATGTTGGATGTGTGCCTGCAGTCTTACCCATGCCTCCTGTAGTCTCTTGGCATTCTACCTTTATTGGTTTGTGAAGTTTAGGTCTTTTGCAGGGTGGATGTATTAGTTTCTTTTTTTTATAAAGTTGGGACAGTAGTATACAATTTGACTTGGCTGATCTCTATCTCTGTATTTTTACTGAACAATGCATCTCTCTGCAGAATTAAGTGTTATGTATTACTTCAGGTTTGTGTTGTGTCCATTATATTAACAGTGGAACGGAACGGTGTGTTTGCTATGGTGAACTGTCAGCGTTAAGATGAAAGTTGTGTGTGAATTGTGTATTGAAGGAAAAATGCATGAGATCAAGGTGATACTGTAGGTGTAACTGTGATAAGACTGGAAAATTATGCAAGAGCAAAATTCTTGATTTGTTATGTTGACATTTTTAGCCTCATTTAGATACTGCCTTTTATAAAACAGTCCAAATCCGAGTGAGTGAGTGTGTGTGTGTTAGGAGCAGACTACAGCTTTGGCAAAGATGGCAACAGCATAGTGTAGGTGCAGTCTTTTAGCTTGTCTTTTATGTTCTGCTGTGGTCAAACAAGCTGTGTGGTTCTTGAATAATAAGTTATCCACCTATTCTAAATAGGTGAGGATTACATATTTTCAATTATATATTTGAATTATTGAATTGCTAGTGGAGAGATGAATCTAGTAATTTCAGTTCATTTATTGTACATAATAGTTACAGTAACTTGTGTGATAAAAGATGGATACACAAGCCTGTGTTCTCTTTTTCCTCTTCCCACAGCTCAAGGTCTCATTTCAGTCCACCTTATTCATCTGTCCTACTAAGTAATTCATATCAAGTCTCTTACTCTGTGAGTGTGCACATATATATTTAGAGAGAGAGAGAGGAGGAGAGAAATTTTCATTGTTCTTTAAAATTAGTAACCTGAAATATAAACCAAGCTAAGCCCTGTATCTGTCTTCTAGATGTTTTGTTTGCCCATATTTCAGATTTCTCTGAGGCTATACAGCTGACTCTCTCTCCTTACTGGCTCTCTTCGGCTTACTCCAAAGCAGTTTCCTCACAGCACAGAGGTGTTCTGTACCTGAACTTTTCATTTCCTTTGTATTTAGGCTGAGGGCATCCTTCTGTAACTTGGCTTGTATGTTGCACAGGAATAACGGGTTGAGTTGTAGAGACCATGGATGATGTGTAGGCCGTGGCTTTTTCAAATTATGGTGGCACTGGAGAAGAAATTAATACTATGTGAGAAGGCCAAAGACTTATGCTTTCCAGCATTCAGAAACTTGACAAAGAACTTGCTAGTTTATGGGTTATTAATGTTTGTCATTGAGCAAAGTGCTTGATTTTATTTCCTCACAGTGGGACTAAGTAAAGTACAACAGCAGAAAAAGTGTCAAATGTTTAGGAAGACTGTCAGCATGACTAATTTCTGATCTTATTCACAACTGTGTGAAAAATGGTGGCAGTAGAATCTGTCAGCGCATGCTTGTTTTCAGCAAGGTATGTTTTATTAAAGCGTAAGTTTTTTTGTTTAGTCTCTTAACATAGAATAGACAAGTACGCAATAAAAGGTGTACTTTTACTCAGCAGTAAGGAGATGATGCTACCATTAGCAATAAAAAAATATTTATATTAAAAGAAAAATAATTTATGCAGAGTTAGAAGCATTCTTGAATGCTGATACTAGAAAATAAATTGATATAATCTCTTCTGTTAGTAAGTGTACATGAAATACTAAATTGTTTCCACTGGGTGGCATTGCAAAACAAAGTATGACATACAAGCATATATTATTCAATGCCCTAAAATATTATGATGATATAGTTATTTTACATATTTTCCAAGATTCTACAGTTGTTTTGATGTATTGAATAAAACATTAAAAAATGTAAGGGTTTTTTTCCTCACCCTTTTTTCTCTTCTTTTTCCCAGTTCAGCTTTATAGTGTTTGATGGCAGGTGTAGGACCTCAATATTCATTTAAAGTCCCTTGATTGTGCTCTTTATTCGGAAGATTTGGGGTTTTTTTGCACTGCAGAGTAATAATTATAAGATCCAGAGAGGTTAGGGACATCTTACTCCTGTTGATTCTTATGAGTTGCTTTGTATTTAGTGCTTTTGCTTTCAAGTACAGACAGTGTGAGTAATCATCTTTGCTTAATTATCTTTGAACTATTTTGAGTCAAATTAATTTTTAAGCATGGAGCTGAAGATAAATGCAATTCTAGAAAAGAGAAAGTTTTACTTGTACTAGTGTGAAATATAACATGTAACTAAGATTATTGAGAAATAATACTGGAAACTGAGATTTAATTTATACATTCTATTTATTTGCTCTCTCTTCTGGTTGGTATGACAGAGTAATAATAATATCTGGGTTTTGGTAGTACAGATTTGTTTATCAGAAACTTGAATGAGACCATGTTGAATAGCGGTCATTAGCTGATGCTTGTTAATGGAATCCAAAAAGTTGAAGCTAATGAATTAGTCTGTGACTCTTAAACAAAACCAAACAAAAAACCCACCCCAAAAACAAAACCAAAAAGACAGAAAAACCCCAAACAAAACCCAGTGCAGACAACTTCCCCTCTCTTCTTCCAGCCACAAACCAAACAGCAACAAAAGATCTGCAAAAAATTCTGACCAGAAAAAGAGCAAAAACTATGTGACTGAATAAAGCAATTATTTGATTGAAATACTACTTTTCCTTTTATATTAACTGCTTTTTTCTGAAGTTACTTTTTTCCCAAGTCTTTGTTTCTTCTCTCTTTTGTCCTTCATTGTTTTTACACTGAGCTCTGTTGGGTTCCTCGTAATTTTTTTAAGGACCATCCAGAAAAGCTGAACCTAGAAGGTTGTAGAAAAGAAGGAATTAACTTTATCCCAGTGTAAAATCTATAAACTATTTGAGCACATGGTATGTGGTAGCAGGTGGCATTTGTTCACAGATTTAAACTGATCACAGAATTGGTTTCAATTACTTAAGGATGGAATAGTTTCTCTAATTATTTATTCTTGGCAGAGAGCTGTGGATACAGTATCCATTCTGCAAGCAATTGATAACCTTGTTTGAATTGTTTCATGACAGTGCAGTACAGTGTTTGATTTCCTGGTTTAAAATCTCCTACACATTGTATAGTTTTTTACTTCTGTTTATGAAGAATTAATGGCCTGTTTCAGTTCTGCAAGGGATTTGGATCTCCTATTCCTGATGACATGCTATCCAGTGCTTGTCATGATTGCAGACTGAGAAACCCAAGGACAGAGAATTTATTCATGTTCCAGCTTTTATAAAGCTTATCACTTTATGATCAGCTAATCAATAACAAATTGTTCCAAGAATTTTATTGAAATGTTATTAATTTGCTTTAGGACGCATCTAATTTGGACTGTTTTTGCTATTTGCATGTGTTTTAGTTACAATTCTGACTGTAGCAACATGTCTAGGTGGGTGGAGGGGGAGAAGTGGAGAAAGGAAGCTCTGCAAAATAGGACAGTTGTAGGTTTTCTATGCTGAAAAGCTTGACATGCTTCCCCATGAGTATTCTAATTTCAGATCAGTTAACATAGCTATGCAGGAAGTAGATGACATGCATTTGGTTTCACTGAATATAATTATCCTGGCTTAGATTTGGTTTTGTCTTTAATTGTTTACAGAATATTCACATCATCTCTTGTCGTGTTGGGAAAAATATCTGTGTGATAAAGCTTAATTGTACAAACAGCTTTAAAACATGTTTTCACAAAACATCCTTCTAATTTATTTTACAGTGTAATTTACTGTAAAATGTTCTAATTAGTTAAAGTAGAACTTGGAATGGGTAACAGTCTTTCCTATTTTGACAGGTGTATTTTCTTCTCACTCCTTTGTAGATATTCTATCTTTTTTTTGAAGGGCGATGGCTTGGGTAGAAGTATTTTAGTAATTGCAGAGATACAGAAGTGTCTCCTGTGGGGTGAATATGAATAATGATTTGAGCTGAGTGGAATTAATTCTGTTGATTTTCAAATACCAAGAGTGATTAGGAGACTAATCAAGAGGGCAACAAAGCTGGTGACGGGACTAGAGTACAAGTCTTAAGAGGAGCAGCTGCAGGGACTGGAGTTGTTTAGCCTGGAGAAAAGGAGACTGAGGGGGAAAACTTACCACTCTCTAGAGCTACCTGAAAGAAAGTTGCAGTGAGGTCGGGAGCAGTCTCTTCTCCCAAGTAAAACGTGATAGAACAAGAGGAAATGGTCTCAAGTTACAACAGGGGAGGTTTAGATTGGATATTAGGAAAAATTTATTCACCAAAAGATTTGTCAAGCACTGGAACAGCAGAAGCTGGCAGGACTTGTGATCCCCCATTTGCCACCCCTGTGCAGCCTGGGGGAGGAAGTAGTGTGAAGTTGAGCCTGGGAAGAAGGGAAGGGTGGGAGGAAGGTCTTTAAAGTTTTGTCTTTATTTGTCATTACCCTAGTCTGATTTTGATTAGTAATAAATTAAATTCATTTTCCCAAGTCATGTCTGTTTTGTCTGTGACAGTAGTTGGTGAGTGATCTCTCCCTGTCCTTACCTCAACCCATAAAACTTTTGTTACATTTTCTCTCTTGTCCAGCAGAGGAAATGAATTACAGAACAGCTTTCCCATCCAAGTCAACCCACCACATTAGGCCACTATAAATGGTAATAGTTATTTCATGATAACAGTAAATGACTGACAAGGCCTTCAGGGTGGATGACCTGCTTTCCAAGTTTATGGAGACATTTTAAACTGTGTATACATAATGTGTTTTTCTTCATATAAACCAAACCTATGGACTAAGAATAATTTTTGTAGTTATAAGTTCAAACTTTGAATTATTAGATTACAAATAAATACATTTTAAAATAGTCTTCTTCTTTTTTTTCCCCAGCTGTAGCAGAAGTGAAACTTCGTGATGATCAGTATACTCTTGACCACATGCGTGCTTTTGGCATGTATAATTATCTTCACCTTGATTCCTGGTACCAGGATAATGTCTACTATGTTGATCAGTTTGGAAGGGTAATGAATGTTTCGGTGACTCTGGTAAGAATAAACTTTTTTAAAAAAATTACTGAACTTGCAAAGTTTGGGGTAGATAAGGTAGAAAATAGGGCAAGTAGGATTCAAATCCAAAAAACGGAGGATACTATTGCCAGGAACAGAGGTAGATTAACAAAAATGCAGCTCATCAGGAAGGATGAAAGGATTTTAAGTGAGTGTTTTGGCATCTTTTCATTAATAATATTTCATTAGTGTTGCATCTTCTTCCATCTGTGGAAGATGGACATGGGGACAAGCTAGTTGCCAGCTGTTTTCCACGTTACTTGTTTTTTTTGTTTCCTAATTTGAAAGTCCTGTCACTGTAGGTATAAGGAGAGAAGGAAGCTGTATTTAGAATTAGATTCCTATGCAAGACTTTATGGACAGGTAGCTTAATTTGGTAATCATTTGTTGGAGGTAAAAAGATGCTGGTGGTCCTGAGCAAACTTGAAATAGAGTGTAGAGTGTAAGTAAGCTAGGGCAAGTCTGGAAAGCATGACAGTTCTCTGTTTTTATACTGATGTTCTTAAGTAGTCAAAGTTTTTATTTATTTAGAGCCATTTTAATGCATGGATGCACTAGTTTCCATTAGAAGGAAAGGACATGGGTCTGTGGAGATCATGTTTTTGTTACATGCAGTTGTAGTGCTTGGTCATTAAGAAATAAAAGACTGTGTGGAAATAAAAATATCTATTATCATGCTACCAAGGAATTTGAATGGTAACCCTGTGGAACAGAAGAAAACCTAGGGTGATGTGAGAATTTTTTGAGGGAGTGTGACAAGGTTCTGAGGACGGAAATGACTAGGTCAGGGATATGCTGAGAAAAATCCTGCAATGGTAGTTCTAGATTTTTCAGGAAATACAGGTTTCCAGAGGATGATGGGCTAAAAACTTATGTGGCAAAAACAGTTCTACTTCTTTTCATGAAGCATAGAAGCAGTTGGTTTGGCAAACTCCTTCTGAGGCAGAATAATTATCTGAGACTTATTCCAAATATTTTGAGATTTTTTGGATTCCTAGTAAGAATGTCTTTAGACATTGACAAAGAAGCTTGTCAGGGAAAGCCTTCTCTAACAGTGGCTTGTCAAAATATCTTGTTTTGTTTTGTTTTTTTTTTCATTGTGGTTGCCTTACACTGGCTGACTCAGACACCGACCCAAACATTCTCTCACTCTACCTCTTCAAGGGGACAGGGAGAAAATAAGACAGAAGAGCTAGTGGATTGAGATAAACCCAGGAAGATCACTTACCAGTTGCCATCATGGCAAAACAGACTCAACTTTGGCAAAATTAATTTAATTTATTACCACTTAAAACTAGAGTAGGATGATGAAAAACAAAATCACACAAAGCTCCTACCAAGAGCTTTCTCTCACATGGGCTTTCCATGGGTTGCACTGTGGTTATCTGCCTCATTGTGGTCCTCCATGGGCTGCTGGTGCCGTGGTCTTTTCTAAGGGCTGCAGGCTGACTTCTGCTTCGCACCACCGCCTTGGCTGAAGGGCGGGCTTAGCTGGAAGCAGCCATGTGTGGCATGGGACAGCCCTAGCCTCTCCTCACAGAGGCCACCCCTGCAGCTCCCCATGCCAGCAACACAGACATCAAATACATTCTTGTATTAGGAGGGCACTAACACACGTAAATTGCTCTCTTAGCAGATAAACTAGAGAAAGGATTTTACAACAGGCAGTAATTTTCATTATTATGTGCTGTTGACAAATAAAAATTCTTTTCTAGGGCTGGTGAGTCTGTTGGAAGAAAATGGCACTGGGTGACTATCTTGTCACATGTTTCAGTTTCACCCAACTATGAAATAGCTGCCATCTTGTGTCCTAATACACAATACAGTGCTGTTCTGCTAAGGAAACATGCTTGCATATGTATAAAAAGGAATGCGTATTCAGAAACATCAACAAGGTGTCTCATTACAAATGTGCCTGCCATGCATTAGTTAAATGTATATTACAAATAATACTGTCTTAACCAAGTGTATCTTACAAGTTGGCAACGGCCAAAATTAAAACAGAAGATGGAACATGTTAATATGCTTACCCTAAATCCAGAGTGGAAGACTACATAGGCTTTTTAATGCATAATTATTTCTAGTTCTGGTTCCTATTTTAGTTAAAATTTTAATTTGAATACAGTGGTGTATTAGTTATCCATAAATCACTAATTACTGCTGCAACTTATGTGTTTAAAAATATGTAATCTGTGAAGGCAAAAAATATAGTTAATAACTTGCTCAGACTTTCTACACAAATTTGAAACCCGGGCTGCCTTAAAAGGCTCAAAATCTGGTTCAGTGTCATAGGCAGGTGAGGCAGAGGATCTGCTGAAAAGAAAGTAGTTGTATAGTGAAGGCACCCAGATGAAATTTGGAAATGATGAGCAGAACAAGAGAGGCCTAAAGGAAGCAGAGTATGCTGTCAAGAACTACAGAATTGGGAAGAGCTAGAATTAAAGGCCAGTGGAAAAGATGAGAGAGAGACTTGGGAGTGAAAAATAGTGAAACAAAGGAAGAATCTTCGTAGAGGAGCAAAGGGAGGTGAAGAACTGGGTCTGACTTTAAGCTGCATCTAGCTTTTTCTTAAATTAACTGTTGCCGTCATTTAAACCTAATTATAGTGAGTAAACCTGTCTTTTTAAATTACTATAATTGTTTTAGCCAGTTCTTGCTAGTATAATACATTACTATAATATCGCAGCATTCCCTCATACTTCTGAATTAGGGAGTTACTATTAACCCCTGTTCATCAGCTGGCACAGAGAGGTTTTGAGGGCAGGTTTTGTTTCAGCTTCAAGTCAATCCATCCTTTTCATTGTTAAACTGATTGGAGACTGTTCTAATAAATGCCTAAAGTTACATTAGTGAACAGAAAGGTTGTGAATAGAAGCATTTTCTTTCCTATTGGGAGGGAGGCTTTGTCATTTATAACAG